AAGAAGAAGAAGAAGAAGAAGAAGAAGAAGAAGAAGAAGAAGAAGAAAACAAATGTAGTGCTGCCCAAATAACATCAGTTGTGATTGTCCCAAAGGTGCTTTTTCAAGAGGCAACTGGAATTTTGGGGTTTTTCTTGGAAGACTTTGCATTCAAGAAGCTTCTTCAGCTCTGTTAGTACCTCTCAGGTACTAACTCAGAAGCGAGCTGATTTCAGGTTCATCCCAGTGCTGCGGCCAAGTGCTGTTGGGCAGGGTGGCTTAGACCAAGAGGGAGATAGGTGAATGTGAAAAGCGGTGTACATTTTTCAGTGACTTCAGCCCTAGTGCTGTCTCTTCTTCAAACCCAACCCTGCCACTGTGGCCAAGAACCACTATGCAGGGCAGCCTAAGTAGGGCAGAAGAAAGGGAGGCTGCAGCACCTGAATTTTTACCACATGACCATGGGACTGCTGCAATGGTCATAACTTCAGGCATGGGTCTTAAGTCCCTTCATTCAGCACCACCATTATTGCAAACAAACGGTCATAAATTGAGGATTACTTGTAGAAAACCATAAGCGACATCTCAGAATAACATTCTGCTCACTACAGCAAAGGACTTCCAGTGGCTCTACTCTGCTAGACTCTGTGCTTCCAGAGTTGGATGGCAGACCTACCTCTGTGACCACAGATGAACTGCAAAACAGTAAGTCTTCTCTGAACCCAAAAGACAACCATATAATAGGGGTTTTATAGCAGGATCATTTGCCATTAATTTTATTTTTTTAATTTATATTCTGTCTCTAAAAAAACTCAAAGTGGCTAACATATCAGGCTCAAGATTGACTCAGCCTTCCATCCTTCTGAGGTTGGTAAAATGAGGAACCAGATTGTTGGGGACAATATGCTGACTCTGTAAACTTCTTAGAGAGAGCTGTAAAGCACTGTGAAGCAATATATAAGTCTATGCTATTCCTCTCACCTCCTATTTTCCCCCAACAACCCTGTGAGGTGAGTTGGCTGAGAGAGTGATTGGCCCAAGGTCACCTGACTAGCTTTTATGTCTTAAAGTAGGAGTAGAACTCACGGTCTCCCAGTTTCTACTCTTGTGCCTTAACCACTAGGCCTAACTGGGTCTCTATAGTTTCAGGAAGTCGATATGATACTAACTCTCATTCAATTGTCTTTTTATTTAGCTGAGGGAAGACATTTCCCACAATTACAAACACTACTTTCTTATTTGCAGTAGAATAGCTGCGTTTTATTTAATTTTTACACATTTTTGACCCACTCATCTCCCTCAGAGAGGGATTTGAAGCGATGGTACAATCAAATATTAAAATATAAAAATGGCATATAAAAATTAAAAAATAGAAAATTTAAATTTAGAAGGCAAAGATGATTAACCCCTATTAAAAATCTAATTAAAAAGGTGAAGAGAGGGCTCTCAGACCACAAACCAGCTCTCTGGTCCTCTCAGCTCATAAGGCCACAGGGCCATGTTTTAACATCTTTTCAGAAGGAATGAATAATAACTGTATATTCATTAAATGTGTATGCTTCTGGATCTATTAAACTTGTGGCTGTCATATAGTCCAAAATACAATACCATAACCATTGAAACTAAGAATAAATTATAGTGAACATTTGATAAGCAAAAGTGGAACAACAATTAAACAGTAATCAACACTAATTAATTTGCTTAAAGCCAATTATTAATGTCTTCCTTGTCTCGGCACTATTCCTCTGTGGCTTAAGAAGCAGAATGTGTGGAAGGGAGAGAAAAGCAATAAATATTAGAAGAAAAAGTGGGCTGACAGGCCCAGCACATTGTATAAACCATGTCCTCTTTCTTAATCCTGACATTTTGATAGGTGTACTGTGTCCTGCCCATAAGCCATTCTTTTTCCCTCACAGAAAATCTTTGTCCTGGCATCCTTCCTTTGCTCACTGTTTCTTCAAGAAGATAGATCATAAAACAACTGTCCAGATATTTGATTTCTTAGCTTTTCTAATATTGCTTGTCTGTTTTATAGAGATTTGCCAAAACGCTACTCTGTCATTTGTGATAGCATAATAGGCGTTAAAAATCATTTCTGTGTCATCCCGTTGATTTTACACAGACAGATTCAATCCTTTACCTAAACTGATGTCATGAATAAGGTTCTGAGACTGTTTTGTGTTGCTATTGGTTTCCCAAACTATTTACAAGGTAGTTCCTGAGATACCTGGTGGTGAGATGTGCTTAGAAGACATAAACAATTCTGATATTTTCAAAGTCTAAAAGATTCTAGAGTTTCAAAAGCAGCTTGAGACTATTAACAAAAACAATGTATTAAAACTTCAAAGTCCTGAAGTCAGATTATACATCCCACTGAAAAACTTGCAGTATTTCTGAGTGAATATACAGTATATAAAACAGTGAAACGTGAAAGTTTACCAATCAAAAAGTGGATGGTATAGCAAACACAATACAAGCCCAAAAATCTCCAAGAGAAACCTACGAAACACCTATCTCTAAGTTCCGGGAGAAATATAGTTGGTACATATTGAACAACTAATGTGATTCATTTTGTTCAGTGAAACTCAAAATATAAGTTTGTATCATCATTAAAGGCAGCCAGGATGTAACCTTAAAACCAAATATGAATGAGAAGGAACTAAAGCTTCTACATTTCACTTTTTGGAGCAGGCCCTATTAATATCTACTGTAATAACAATCTTGATTTTATAACCAGTTGTGTGCAGGAGGAACAGATATCTGTTAAAGTCAAATGGCCATTAAATCTGAATGTATGTAAAATTTACCAGCATTGTCCAGATTTATTAGTCAAATAATGGGGATTATCCATTGTTTGGAGACACATTCCGCATTCAGATTTTGTCTGTTTCATCCAAAGTCCACTGACTGTGTGTGTTTGTGTAAAATTGAGATTCTAGTGTATATTTCCTTAGGGTTAAATTAATTGCTTATACATATGCTGGACTTTGGTTAGGGCAATGACTGTTTACATGATGAAAAAGTAACTTTCCATTTTTTAGTTGCAGTCCAGATTGTCCTAGTACAGAGACATGAATTTCATATCATAAAAAAAAACTGCAAGTCATTAAACTGTAGCCAGATATAGGACAAATATAAACAGAGATGCAATGTATTTGAGCTTAGATCATCATTTAATGCAGACTTAATACAATAGAACATGGAATCATCGGGCGCGCCGGGCACTATTTTTGGCACGCATGGGAGCACCAGAAACTGGAAGAGCAGGTCCCCGCCAGGCATGCGTGCGCCAGGAATCTAAGCTTCCGGTTTCCGGCATGTTCCAGAAACCAGAAGACCAGGTGGCCACGCTCCTGGTTTCTGGTGCTCCTATGCACACACACACACACTGGGGAGTTGCTCTTCCGGTTTCCAGCACTCTTCTGTTTCGGCATTTGGTGCCAAAAAGGTTCACCAAAACTGTTATATACCATTCCAGTCAAATGGTTGTTCAATTGATTTTAGAAAACCTAGTGATGGAGCATCCACAGGGAAGTAAGCTACAAGTTGTCTGACTTATAAAAGTTCATTTAGTGACCATTCAAAGTTACAACAGCACTGAAAAAAAGTGAATTTATGACCATTTTCACACTTGCAACCATTGCAGCATCCTGTATATTCATAAACTGGAATAGAGCTTGGTAACAAGGTCAGCCAATGAATACGCATAGCAACTAAGTCAGCCAATGGGGACTGTTTTGGAAACTGAAACTAGAAGTAGCCTAGGCATGGCTCTATATTAAGCTCTGCAGTTCAGAGCCTATGCTGAGCTCTGAGTCTGTCTATTGAAGATGAAACTGCTTCTCTCCTCTGCTTGTTTGCTGAACTAAAGTGAAACTGTTGTCTGCTCTGCTGAAGTTACTTGCAATATGTTTCTGTTTGAGTTTGCTCCATGTTGGAGAAATCTACAACTGGTTTGTTAAATCTACTTATTATGTTTATAAAGACATTAAATGAAGCATCAGCCATCTGTGTTTATTTTTCTGGCGCTGAATTAACGCTGCAAAATTCTGAATACATCCCCATGATCAATGCAATCAAAATTCAGACACTTAGCAACTGACTCATATTTATGGCAGTTGCAGTGTCCTGGGATCATGTGATTCACTTTCCTGACCAGCAAAATCAATGAGGAAGCCAGATTCACTCCTCAACCATGTTATTAATTTAACAATTACAGTGATTGACTTAACATTTGTGGCAAGAAAGGTCATAAAAATGAAGCAAAACGTAACAAATGTCTCGCTTAGCAACATAAATTTTGGGCTCAATCCTCAATCGAGGATTACTTGAATTCTATTGATTAGCTGTTCACAACATTTCTTCTTACTTCTAGGTTGGATCTCTCTTTAACTAGCTTTCACCCATTATTTCTTGTCTTGTCCTCTGGTGCTTTGGAGAATAATTCCCTCCACTGTATGACAGCCCCTCAAGTACTGGAGGACAGTTATCATGTCTCCCCTAATCCTTCTCTTCAATAGGCTAGACATACCTAGCTCCCTCAACTGTTCATTATGCTTTTGTACTATCACACAATAATCCCAGAAAGTGGATACTCTGACCCAGAGCCACTTTCAAAAAAATTTTCACCATCCACATTCAAAAGGGAATCTCAAGCTATTCTTCTTTATACTATATAGTTCTCAGGGTAAAGCAAAGGTTAGCCCCAAAAAATATACAACCTGTTATTATCAATAAATACCACATAGTTCAAAGAGAATTCTGTATATGGAATTTTTTTCTCCTGTCAGTCTTACGTTCCTTGCATTTTTCTTTGCAACATTTTGGAAATGGTCACTTCTGAATTTAGAAAATAGCCTTACCTATCTATCTTTCTGAAAGTCTGTGGTTATGGGTCCATTTTAGGGGAGAAAGGGCTATCTTGAACAATTACTCCCCTTTTTAAGAAAATAGGAATTAAAATTCCCTAACTTTTGGTAATCCTGACGTTTTTAAAGAAACAATACTTTAGAAATATTGTCTTCCTTTGTGTTTAAAGATTGGGACATATTTATTCAAAAGTTACATCATTATTTTCAAAAGAATTTACATTACATCAGTTTTCTTTTAAACTGCAGACTAAACTTTCTCAAATTGTCAACACTTAAGCAGAATATTTTTAAAACTTTAAATGTTCTGCATTAAAAATGTCACCATTTTCAGTATTTAAAAATCTCTTTACTATGATATCCTTTATCAAGACAAGTTAAGACTTACATACAATGCAAAACACCGAAACATTAAAGAATACATGGCAGGAATATTGCTAACAAGACACACTCATTATCTATTAAAATAAAGACTTTTTTTTTTCAAACGTATATCTACATATTGTACATCAGACATGATTTATACATGACTCAAATATCTTAGCTTCAATCCACTTTTTTGTCTTCCTTAAGGTATTATTATTCCTTCCAGTGTTCGCTTTACACACAAATGTTTATTATTTTCAGCAGTTCTTCCACAAAAGGAACTTTGTAGATTGTGATGGTTCATTAACTTTTCAGGATCCTATATATCAGCATCTGAGTATATTTTCATTCTTTACTTTTAGTGAAATCATACAATTTCCACTTCTGAGCAAAATGCAACACTTTCTTCCTTTGGTCTTCAAAATTTTCTCGTAGTCCTTTCCTCCAAAGTCGTGGTTCCAAATCTAGCATGCCACCAATTATTTCCTTTCAAAATAGGAAAGAATATTATTTTTCTTAAAATAACCAGAAAAACCCACACCTGTTCGAACAAAGATTGTCAAGCAGGAGAAGAAAATCATTTTAGCTTTGCATGTTAAGAAGAGATGAGTCATTTAACTGGCTACCACATTAAAATCTTTTATGCATGCTAGTTCTCCCAAAAGCCATGGGAGGCTGGGGGTGGAATATGGATTTGAACTAAAATAATTCTCAATTCATCCCCTACAGAACTAGGTAACATACCTGGAGTTATTCCATAAAATTTATTCCTAACACTTGTAGGAACAGAATATATACAGCTTTTTTAAAAAAACAACATATTAGTAATATTCTTTAAGGAAATAGTTATCGGCTGTTTCACTTTGCATCGTGGGAGCTTTAACAACCAATTAAACCCCAGATACAATATTTACATCCTCAGGTAATTCTGAAGAATATAGTTATAAAACTGTGGGGTATAGTCCTCTTGGCCTACAGTAAATATCTTAAGGAAATACATAAAGCATTAATCTTACAGAACAGGAACTGAACATTTTAATACCTTTCCAAAGTAACGAGGAAACTTGTATTGATTTTCAATGACGTGAGCGAAACCACCTTGGAGGCCAAAATCTACAGAGAAGTAAGGCAAACCTTTTGGCACCTAAATAACAAAAAATAAATAAAAAAAACCAATAATAATCCAGACAGTTCATTGTTTCTTTCAAACATATTCAATTCCAAATCTTTTAAAATGTTTAAATCGAAGGCTGGCTTATTTATTTGCCTTCAGATAGTTTCAAACATTCCAAACTTTCCAAATTTACTCGAGCTAAATCCCAAATGGAGAGGTGCTCTAAAGCTCTTTGAAGAGTTTGGGGAAGGGAGGCTACCAGAGAAGCTGCTTTTTGTCCATGAAGACATATAAACATTTAAAATATTGTATATTTTTAGAATATAGTTTTTAAATATTCTGTATTGCACATAGCTTTATATATAGATGAGTTTGACCTGTATTCCAAGTATTCTTTGATGGAGTCAGGTAAGCAAACATGTTTGATTTCCTGATCAAACTTGTGAGTGGAAGAAGATCAATGTAAGATAGAGATTCAAGCCTAGCAGGTAATTGTCTGTTTTTGGCTAAAGCTAAAATTTAGCACTGTGAGCTTAATTTCCTTAACAACCCATGACAAATGGGAGACATAGTGGAAGAAATCCCCAAAGGACAAATTGTTGTCACATGGTCTCTCATTAGAGCTTTTGTTACCAACGAAATACTAAAATACCGTACAAGGAGAGGTTGTTTAAACAATGAGCTACCGTTGTAAAATGGCAAACTGGCCTACTTTTAGTAATCAATAATGTTAGGACTTCAAGACTCAACATTAGTATCAAGCCAATTATTAGTATCTTACAACTTTAGAATTGCCTAAGTAGTAAAGAACTTTCTCTTGGGCCTGCTTTAACATTCTGCTATCTGCTTTGCTAGAAGGCTTGTTTAGTAAGATTTCCTTGGAGGAGCAAGCATGCAAAATGTCAAAGAAACTAGATGCGTCCTAACAATTGCTGTTTCCAGTAACTGTTGTTCAGGCAATTACAGCATCTCCTCCTGCTTTTAAACAGGCACTCTGGGCAAACTGGTAGCTACAGAGGAGAAACTGTGATGGACTACAGTGAAGCAGCAATTTCCCAGCAAGACAGGTGAGAAAAGAGGCATCATAGCCCAGAGTTGGAGTCAGAGGAAGAATGTTAGAATATTCACTCCCTAAAATTTCTCAGGTTATGTCCATTAGGATGAGAATAATAAGGGTTTAGACTGGCAAGGTTCTATCTACTGTGCATAAACAAATAAAGAACTGAACTTTTGGCTGGATTGTCCTATGTCATTCTTCGACTAAGCCTGACACAGTTAGGCATTACATATATAGACATACTTACATGTGTGCATTACACATTTGGTCAAATTCTGTGAACCAGAAGGTAAAGCCCTATCTGATAAAACAATGGGTTGTTCACAACATTCCTACAAAATAGTGAATTTGGATAAAGGAAGCCATGATATTGTGCAAACACTGTTTTTGAATTCTACATATCTTATGTGTAATATTGCTGAGTTGTGATTATAACCAAGTTTCATGAATTCACTCTACACATTTTAATACTGTTCAGAACTGTTAGGAAAGTGATGTGCAAAAATTTGTTTCTTTATTTTAAACTGTCGTTAAGACAAACAGTGGTAATCAGAAAGAGCACTTTGGGCCACTTGCCATGATCATATGAATATCATCACAAGGCAGTCAAGGGCCTATTTAATGAAGCACTAATTCTAAAGCAAAACAAAAAAAATCCAGAATTAATAATTTGTAAGCAATTTAGACAACCCCATGTGAATATGGTTAAATAATTAAAAAGTTAAAAATTGAAATCCTGGGTGAAAAATACAAACATTGCAATGTGAGTCCAAGAGTCTCCTCCTGCCAGCAGAGGAAATGACGTAATTCTTCACCTTTCTCCGACCCCAAAATATTCTGAAGTGTCAAGCAACTCTCCAGAACAGGGGTGCCAACCTTGGCAATTTTAAGACTTGTGGACTTTAACTCTCAGAATTCCTCAGCCAGCTGGCTGAGGAATTCTGGGAATTGAAGTCCACAAGTCTTAAAGTTGCCACGGTTGGACACCCCTGCTCCAGAATATAACATCCATTCATTCAGCAAAGCTCTCTCTTTCAGGGAGATTCCTCCCCAATCAGGAGCTTTCTGGGGTTGAAATATGTCCTTCAGTTCCTGCAAGGCAAAGCTTGTACAGGTAGTCCTCAGTTAAGCACTGTACATGCATGTATTGTAAAGCTTCGAAATTGCACGTTCACTGGTACAATTATTATTGCTTCTCAGCTTGCCAACAAACCAGGAAGAGGGAGGGAGGGGACAGAGAGAGGGAGGGAGGCTTCTCAATGCTTAGTTGCCCTGAAGAACTATGGATTAGGAGTTACAGAAAGATAAATAATAGCAGCTAGGTCTGTACTAACATTAGGTGAGACATTTCAGTTGACAGATAGACATGGATCTAATAATTAGATTTCTCTACATAGTGAACTCCCAATGTAATGAATACCCAAGATAGAGAACATAGTAGTTTAGGTGTTCCAACTAGATTTATTTATCCAATTTCTACATTGCCCGTCTCACCTAACCTAAGTGACTTTCGTCGGTTTAGGAAAAGAAAAACATATAGCAACATAAAAACAGAGTTAAAACTGAATTAAAACCAGTTAAAATTAGACATTACAGATTTAAAGGTTACAAACTTAAGAGAGGCTTTGAAAAGTTAAACATTCAAGTCCGGCTTCCACCGTGGAATCTCAGTAGGTGATTTTGGGCCAATCATTATTTCTTTGTCCAAAATACCTCACAGAGTAGCTATCTAAGGAGGGGGATGAAAGACGTTTTCTATATAAGCAGCACTGAATTCCTGGAAGAAAGGCAGGATAATAAAGTAAAATAAAATAGCCTTTCTTTCCAATTCTGCATCATAGCTCTTCTGAAGGAAACAAACCTCTAGCTGAAAATTTCAAATTATTCCAACTGAATGTGTAACCCAATTTTCATAAGCCATTGCATATCAATGTAAGCCATGCATCTTTCACTAAACTCTTACTGAACTTAATGGGATTCAACAGAGTAATTACATTTGTAAGACATATGGAATTGAAGCAGAGAAAATCTGCCAATAAAGCCAATACCTTCAAGAACTTACAAGATAATTAAAAAGCATTCCCACTGATATCTCTCACAGTTTCATTGAAATATACCAGTCACTATGGTTAGATTTAGCCTTGGAATTCAGTTTTTTCACCAACTTTATTCAATGTATTTTTCTGTGTAGCCTTTTATTATAAAGGCGCTGTCTTTTAAAAGCATTGCTCACATTCACATGGAAATCAGCTTTGCATTACAAGTGATGAGTTTGGAATGCTTACCGATTTGCGAACATCTTTTGAGCCTAGATTAATTAGTTTTTTATTCATGGCCCACTCTTCATCTGATTCCATTATAGCTTTCTGGAAAAAAAAATATTGCAAGGATATACAAAACGTTCACAAAATGGCAAAGTATGACACAAAGTAGAATTCATTTGCACCAATCCCCACCTCCCAAATTATGATCAGAAGGGAGACTCCCCCCCCCCCCCCCGACCCCGGTCAATTGTGTCAGATTCTCAGAGATTGCAGTTACTTTAGCAAGGTTTTTCAGAAGTGGTTTGCCATTGTCTCTTTCATAGCGCTACGAGAAAGTGACTGGCCCAAGGTCATCCAGCTGGCTTTGTGCCTGACAGTCTCCTGGTTTCTACCTTAACCACTACGCCAAACTGGCTCTCAGAAATTTCATTAGGACATATTAATTAGGTAATTCAATTTATATATTAAATTAAAGCATAATGAAGACTGATGTAGTAATAACTTTACTCTGTACCTTTCTCTTTTTATTTTACTGTTTTAGAACTGCAGTTTAACTTAATCTGACACAAATTATTTCAAAATAAGGAATTTCACTTTATAGAATTATACATGCTATTGCATCTTAATAATTGTGACAATTATGTGAAGTCTATTTACGTGTATACCACCACTTTCACCATATCAAAAAAAAAAGGAAAGGGAAAGGAAAGGAGGGGAAGGAGAAGGGGAAGAGAAAGAGGAGGGGAAGAGAAAGAGGAAGGGAAGGGAAAGAGGAAGGGAAAGGGGAAAGGGAAAGAGGAGGGTTATGAAATGAAATTCAAGCCAAAGAATCATGTCAGAAAAAGCTCCCATATTTACTAATATCTTTACATGCCATTTAAATTGCTTCAAAATACACAGTATATAAAAGGCATTGTGGGTTCAACATGCCTGCTGGGACCAACATATTCAAATCATCCATCTTTAGAAAAAATTGATTTCCAGTTTACAACATTCTATATTTCACTTCTACCGATGGGTCTCATTCATGAAAAAAAGTTTGCTTTCCCCTCTTTGATTGTTTGGGAAGTGGATCAAAGCAGATAATACCAACTCCACAGCTAGTTTAATATAACAATTTTCAGGTAGTGGCATAGTTTAAAAATATTTCATTGCTTAAAAAAATGAAAAGGAAAAAAAGAATCATCATCTGAGTCTTCAGCAAACAATAATCTTTTTGCTGATAGAAGGTCTTGGGGAAAAAAACACAGTTTCTATGAAGTGCTATATAAAGGGAAGTACAATAAAATGAGATATGCCTATACTAGTTTTGGCTATGCTTTAGGGTCAAAAGAAAACCAGAGATGTTAAAAAAATGTTACCTTGAAATAGATGGGAGCCATATCCCCCACTTCCTTTGGGAGAGGAATACATTCGTACACCATGTGGTATTGTTTGCCTATACTTAAATTTGTCTCCAGAAAGACACAATCCAACTCTTCAGCTTCAAACATCTTTACCAAAGTTTTTCTGAATACCTGATACAAGAAAGGGTGGGATGGAAGAGAGGAAGGGAGAGAAAGAGAGAAAGAGAAGAAAACAATAGTTTCCAACCTTAACATTATTAGGCAATGTGACTGTACAAATGTCTGCAGTGAACTGAGGAAGTCTTATGCTTTTCATAGTGTTGGAAGAAAAATCTAGTCCGGTTCCAAGCCTGGAGGAAAAACAAAATGCTGGAAATAAAATGGAGGCTGGCTACAAGGAAAAAGGGTCTGTTTATTTGGTTTCCAGAAACTTCAGGAACAGCAGCATGTTTCTGGGGTGGCAGACAAAATGGTTGAGTGAATGAATGGATTTTTATAGGGTTCTGGGATTTGGTGATTGAGATGCTCCCGGGGGTTGTGCAATGTAGTGAGTCTTGTGTCGTTTGCTATTCTAATGGTGGTGGGTAAATCCTATTATGTCCTAAAGGTCATGTCCTGTCCTTAGAATTTGAGTGGAGGGATGTAAATTCTTAATCCCATCAGCTCCAGCCTTCTGTGGGAGTTTGTCGCTGAAGGGTTTTTGTTTATGAATAGATTGACCCAGCCTTTCTGAATGGATACAAAATCTCCATTCCAAAAAACGAGTCTTGTCTACTTGAGGCTGTTTTCCTATGGCAGGAAGACTGGGGCTGCATTCTGCCTTTGTTAAGATTTTTCTGCGTTTTTTCTTTGTGGAAATATTCTATCCTGCCTCTTTTTAACATTAAGAATAAAGAATATTTTGATCTGGAGAGAAGTGGGGGGGCTTCCTACATTTTGCCTCTTGCTGCATGCAAAGTAAGATATAATGAACTGATAACTGAACATATTGGGTAATTTTAAATATTTATACAATATGCAAAATGTCAGAGGAACTTCTTGTGGAATCCTTGGTGCAGAGAGCCATTTATTGGGCAACATAAATGGAGATAGAAACAACAGGAGGTCCTTTAGGCACATTTACACAGAAGTTAATCTCTTGTCTTATATTGACTCCAAATGACACCATTCTTCCACTTTGCCTTCCGATTCCATAATTTGTCAAAATGTGACATTTTTATCAGGCTTTATTGACCTTTAAGTGCAATAATAATATTCCCTTAAAGAAAAGCAATCATAGATCTCTCATCTTTGTTCTGCAGAGGTTTATCCAACCTGCTAACTGTAACAGACCTGACCTCTGTTCACGTTCACTCATTCTCCTGCATAGGATGGGATGTCACAAAGAATTATGGAGAGAATCAGTTTGAATCTGCCTTAGTGTTTGTAAAGTGGGACTTTTTAGGGAAAAAAATGGAAAAGGTGGAAACCACAGTCCAGATTTCCAGTAAATGAAAGATGAGTCTATAACCCAAACTTGAAATGTTGTAATAATATTCAATAAAGAAGATGAAAGTGCTAACAGCTTGAGGTCCTCAAAATAACCATAGTCTGTATTTGCTTGAATCACAGGCCGATTGTATAGCATCACATATATTTTATAAAACTCACGCTTCATAATATAAATAAGCCAAATAAGATGAGGCGGCATGCTCATAGCTGCATAGCAACTTATGAAATACAGTTTCAAACTTTATTTTTTTAATTATGAGAGCAACTATTTATTTTGTAATACCAGAAGCAAATGAAATTGTCTGTATTTGCTGCTGAGGCCAAAACATCCATACAGAATAAAAAACAAACTGAAAAGCAATACATTCTTATGAAAAAAAATCTAATACTAATACATCTGATAATGGCAGCCTAACTACAGATGGTTGCATTATTTTCTTGCTAACAATTATGTAAATGTCCGAACTGCCTTATAATAAATCAGACTACTTGTCCTTCCAGAAAAACATGACATAGTTTGAATGGCAGAAATACTCCAGAGGTTTATGCAGAGTTTCCCCCACCCACATCCATTATTTGTCACTTGAACTATTATCTAGAGACGCCAGTTTGAAACTAGGACTTGCATATGTCCTGCCGTAAGTTATGGTCAAAAGAATCCCAGGATGAAAGGCAACAGATCTTTTATTTTCATGAAGTACCAGAAACAATAACAAACAAAATAATTGAATAGCCTGATGTGGCTGCCAAGATGCTTGGTTCTCCAGTAAAGTAACACAGTGTTATTGGCAGTGTTGAAAGAAAACAAAATACAACAAAAAAACTAAGTAAGGCATACTTTAAAAGGGGGACTGAGTCTATAGTTTAGACCGGGTGTCAGCAACCCATAGCTCCTGAGCCACATGCAGCTCTTTGAGCCCTCTCCCGTGGCTCCCTGCTGAGCCAGTTGCGTGACCTGCTCTCTGCCCCGAGCCACTGGCCCAATCCAGCTGTGGACACCAATCTCACTAACACGAGGGCTGGTGGGGTGGGAATGGGATCTGGGAGGAGAGTATGATGGAAAGGAGGACAGGCTTGCAGCTGAGGAGCAAGAACGAACTGCAGTGGCGGCTTCCTCCTCCTTCTCACATGACCCCCTGGCAGGCTGTTGTGAGGCCAGGAGGGTGCGCACGAGTGGGGATACCCTCCTCAAACTAGTGGCTGTGCTTGGCCAAAGTGCAGCGAAGGCACGTGGAGCTGGCAGGTTGACTGGCAGACGGGCGAGCATCTTTGGTGAGGGTGCTCCGGCTACCCTGCTTGAAGAGAAAATGATGGAGGGAGAGAATGAGAGAGAGAGAAAAGAGAAGCAAATGAGAGAGAAAGAGAAGGGAGAGAAGGAGAGGGAGGAAGACAGAAATAAGAGAGAGCTGGAGGTAGAATGAGAGAGGGGGAAACAAATGAGAGAGAGAAGGGGAGAGAGAGAAAAAGAATGAAAGAAGGGGAGAGGGAGGAGAAAAGGAGATAAAAACAGAAATGAGAGGGAGAGAATGAGAGAGGGAAATGAGAGAGAGAAAAGGGGAGAAAAACAGAGAAAGAGAGAGAAATGGGAAATGATGGAGGGAGAGAATGAGAAAGGAAAAAGAGAGACAAGTAAATGAGAGAGAGAAGGGGAGAGAAAGAAAAGAGAGGGGGGGAAGGAGGAAGAGAGAAAAACAGAAATGAGAGGGAAGGAGAGATAGAGGGGGGAGGGAGAGAGACCCATTTCCCACAGAAAACACCCAGGAGCCACAAAATCTGGGGTAATGTGACTGGGGTTATGTAACTGACATGCCTACCCAGGTTTTGTGGCTCCCGGTGTTTTGTTTTGTTTTTCTATGGGAAATGGGTCCAAATGACTCTGAGTGTTTAAGGTTGCAGACCCCTGGTTTAGATTACACATCAAGGCAAATCTCTGCAAAAATATACATATTTAGAGAAAATCTGAAGACAGCTGACAAACTTCCATTTCAGATTTTTGTTTTTAGTTTTAACGTGCTGAGAATTCTAATCAGCCTCAAGCAAAGGCTATCAACCTAAAACCCTGGCATCAGAAGGTCTGAGTTTCAATGACAATTAAATGCAAAAATAAACAGAAACAACCCCCTGGCCAACATCTTCAAGAACCATTTTACCAGTCAGCTAAATATCCTGTTCTTGTTGTCCAGACTAAGAATTAATTCAATGGTTAACACATTATTGCTTGACATTGCCACTAGCATGCATTCTGGCAATAGTATTTGGGAGACTTTTGTGGCAAAGTATACCAAAACAATCTGCTTGGTCACTGCAGTTACTAGGATGAGGTTTGATTATCATCCAGGATATATAGTAACAAGTACCAGGTTCAATTCTCTAGAAGTTTTAGGAGACAATTATGACATTTTTATAACTATTACTTGAGGTTAGCTAAGCTGAAGTTGCCTAGGTTCCCAGAGACTCCTAAAAGTTGTTACTTATTTGTTTGTTTATGTATTTTGTATGGCTGCCACCTTACCAATGACTCTGAGCAACAAACAAAACTTAAAAGAATAAAGACAATTAAAATAACACACATATTAAAATTTATAGCAGCCAAGAACAACACATACATAATTATGACTAAATGAATGACCTAAAATTGCTTGGCAAAGGGATCAATGTTCACCTGAAAAGCCCAGCAACATTAGCCATAGAATAATGTTTTAAATCAGATCATCCTATCAATATTTTTGAACTTAAGAAGTGTAGTGCAAAGGTGTCAAACTCATGTCGTCATGGCGGTGTCACGTGACATAATGGGACTTTCTTCTTCACTAAAACGGCTCTGGGTGTGGCCAGCATGTGACGCATCTGGTCGGGAGTTTGACAGCCCTGGTGTACGGTCTCCTGCTTGAGTGGGGGGTTGGACTAGATGACCTACAAGGTCCCCTGTTAATCTAATCTAATCACTATTTATAGTAATAGGCACCATGAGTACAATTCCAAAACATCTGGAGCACCCCTTGAACCCTATCAGCATTCACAGAATCACCATCAGTGAATAGCAAAAGGCAGATATGTTTGGGGCAGCTTATATCCTGTGACAATACCTTTAATATTATTCAATATCTGCTTATTCAGTTCCTTGGAAAGGATTCAATAAATGGACAAAATTGCTAAATCCAGTCTAAAATTCTGGCTGACTGGGAAACTAAGCAAAATAATAAGCCAGTAATTGAAATCACAGAATAGTTTAATCGAACAATACATTTTCTGTCATCTGGTCCACCCTCAACACATGACAATCCAGCCCATTGGATCATCTTGGATGAAGGGAAGGCATGGTATCATAGTGATCACACACTATCAAATGTTTCCCAAATTAATTTGAAATAGCAATGGAATATTGTATTGAAAGAACGACTTTTAAGGTTAGATAGCTTGTTTCTCATATTTAAACACTTTTCTAGCTCAAAGAGAACAATGAAATTATGTATTGTTCAATGGATTCATAATTGGTGATAATTCCTTGGTGGAACGGATAATTCTTTTCAGTATTTATTTTTATTTGATTTGATTTGTCAATTGTTTACAAGATAATAAGTATAAGTGTATACATAGTTATGAATACATAAAATGGGTACATATAAGAAAAATAAAAGAAAAATAAAAGAAACAATAGGACAGGGACGGTAGGCACGTTGGTGCGCTTATGCACACCCCCTAGAGACCTCTTAGGAAAGGGGTGAGGTCAATAGTAGACAGTCTAAGGTTAAAGTTTTGGGGGTTTGGGGAAGAAACTACAGAGTCGGGAAGAGTATTCCAGACATTGATCACTCTGTTGCTGAAGTCATATTTCCTGCAATCAAGCTTGGTGCGGTTAACCTTGAGTTTGTATCTGTTGTGTGCTCTTGTGTTGTTATGGTTGAAGCTGAAGTATTCATTGACAGGTAGGACATTGCAATGTATGATTTTATATACCATGCTTAAATCAGACCGAAGACGGCGTAATTCAAGGTTTTCTAGTTCTAGAATTTCAAGTCTGGTGGCATAATGTATTCTACAACGAGTAGAGGAGTGGAGAACTCTTCTTGTGAAATATTTCTGGACTTTCTCAATTGTGCTAATATCAGATACGTAATGTGGGTTCCAGACTGATGAGCTGTATTCGAGTATTGGTCTAGCAAATGTTTTGTATGCTCTAGTTAGTAGTGTGATATTACCAGAGAAAAAGCTACGTAGGATTAGGTTAACAACTCTTAATGCCTTTTTGGCTATGTAGTTGCAGTGGGCTCTAGCACTTAGATCATTAGAGGTGAGTATTCCAAGGTCCTTTACAGAGCTTGGATCATCAACAAGATCTTGACTATTCAGCTTGTATTTTATTTTCTGATTTTTTTTGCCAATATGTAAGACAGAGCATTTATTTGTTGAGATTTGAAGTTGCCATTTGTTTGACCATTCTGATACATAGTCAAGATCTTTTTGAAGGGTAGCAGTATTGTCTGTGGTATTGAACAGCTTTACATCATCAGCAAAAAGAACGCAGTTGCTCTTAATATGATCACAGAGGTCATTTATGTAGAGTATGAAGAGAGTTGGTCCTAGAACACTACCTTGGGGGACACCACTATTGACAGGTACAGAATTTGATAGGACACTCCCAATTTTGACTATTTGTTGTCTGTTTGACATGAATGCTTCTATCCAGTTATGCAATTGTCCAGAGATTCCATAAGATTTTAGTTTTAGGAGTAGTTTGTCATGTACCACTGAATCAAAGGCTTTACAGAAGTCTATGTAGATTGCATCTATTGTTTTGCCCTGATCAAGCTGTGTAGTCCATATGTTTTTGCAGTGTAGGAGTTGCAGATTACAGGATAGTTTTTTTCTGAAACCAAATTGTTTATTGGAGAGTAGGTTGTTTGTCTCTAAGTGGAGGATGATGGATTGGTTAATAATTGATTCCATGACTTTACAGGTGACGCAGCATAAGGAGATTGGTCTGTAATTTTATTATGTATGTATGTGTTCTGTCTCACCTTTCTTCTTTCCAAAAGATGAAAGAGTACAAACTTACACAAACACAGGCAGGCAAGCTGGCTCGGACTTCACAGAGTTAATTCTTTAGAACTGATGTCCTGAAGCAAGATTAAACTTTGTCCCATACAAAGTTCCAGCCAACAACACACCCACTTTTATCCCCTGTGGGGTGTGGCTCAATGACTCAGCTCACTCTCTGACCCTCCCACGCCTCCTACATTGCTGCTCACGTTTCTTCCTACGACGCTGCTTAGGATCAAGCCAAAATTCTTCCTCTTGACTCCCTGTCAGGGGCTGCTCCGAAATGCCTTCCTCCTGATTAATCTCAGGCTGTTCCTCTCAGTTGTCTGATGAAACCTGAGGCATTATCAGGGAGAAAGGCATTGCCAGAGAGGAAGGTCCTAGGGAGGAAGGCATTCCCAGTTCCTCCTCATCATCTTCCGAGTCCTCTTCCTCTAACAGCACAGGCTCGGGAATCGGAGCCACAATATGTATGTATATATATTTGTGTGTGTGTGTGTGTGTGTGTGTGTGTATGTGTGTGTGTGTGTGTGTGTGTTTTAAGCATTTATATTTAGCTTTTCAGTGAATTGGTTTCCTCTATCTGAGGAACGTGGAGAACCTTTGAAGGCTCTTAAGGGCTTAAATGATCTCTAGTAAACACCATTAATCATCCCAAACAAATAAACATTATCTCCAAAGATAAACTATCTTTTTTTTTAAGTTCAATAAAAATGAATATCTGACTTGGCAACTGCAACTGTTACAAATCATCATTAGCAAGGTTATCATTGTGGCTTGTTTTGCCAAGGCCTTAAACTGAAAGATTTAAGTTTTGAAATATTTTTATTTCAGTAACAGTGAGATTGTCAACAAATGCACTGGTAATTTCCTTTGAGAGAACTGGTCTTCACAGAGGTCTGGAAAGCTCCAGTGAAACACTTTTTTATCAAAAGCATTTTGATAAGCATATCTCTCTGAAGGAAAACTGATACAATACGTATTTTACAGACCATATTCATCTTTTATTTATTGTGTTTTCTTTCTTCTTCTAGAAAGAGATAAGGATGCTCCATACTCTGGCTCTCAGGAAATGTCTCAACTTGCAGTCCTTATCTAGTGGGCTACAAACTCTTAATCCTCAGAATGTAAGCTTCTCTTATAATTTCTTGTCGAACTTTTGTAATTCAAAGAACAAATTTCACAATTCTACAGAATAGGAATTACAATAGTGGTCATCCAAAGACATTCAGAAGAAAGGGTCTAAAGCAACAGTCCCCAACCTTTCTGCTCGAGTGGACCAGAGGACTGATGGAAATGGTTTCGTGTGCACATCACTTTCACAAATGCAGCTTCCAGTACATTCAACCACCACTTCTGCGGCCCGGTTCTGATCAGGCTACAGCCTGGCATTGGGCCACAGCCCAGGGGTTGGAGACCCCCGGCATAAAGTACATACCAAAACCAAGGTTCGTACCATGTTATACTTACAGCACCTAAAACTCGCATCATAAAAAAACGGATCAAACTAGAAGCTGTGCTCACCTGAATTTCTTCCCAAATGTCTTCATCTAGAAGTGTGGCAGCAATGTAATGCTGCATAGGAGTGATCAGGCAATGACCTTCAGTAAGAGACTGGTACCTCGGCAAGGATAAGTACACCTAGAAAAGAAAATGCAATGTTTGAGCATCCGGTTGGTGTATACTGACCTTACGATTTGCATGATTTATTCTAGCCAAACTAGACATGTTATAAAACTTGTTTAAAGAGACTCTCATTTTAAAGGAACTACAAGTTCCAGCAGTGGGGAATCTGCTTAACAGTTTTCATACCAGGGTTTTATATATCCATATAGGACAGGGTCCATATGGGACAGGTTTCTGAATGAGAAAAAGTGGCAAAAGGAGGAAACATTATTATTTCTCAGCTATAAGGTTCTTTTATTTGTATATAGAGTCTGAAAAAAATACACACAAAGAAAGATTTCCATGTAATCTAATTTGGACTGGAATCCCTTCATTGAATATATTCAAGCACAGGCTGAACGTCATTAATCAAGGATGCTGGATTTCTGCAAGGAGCAGAAGATTGAATGTGATGCCTTAGAATGGTTTCTTTCAGCTCTTTGAAACTAATTCCAAATTCGTTTTATAAGGAGGAGGGACTATATCTGTTGTTGTTTTTTAATATCTGAATGACTTTGTTTGTCTTTCTGCCTTTGTTTTCTTCTACCAATTATAATTTCACCTTTCCTCTATGACTCTTCTCCTCTTACAACTCAACTCTGCTTTGGCCTCCTAATTATTTACTCTTCTTGTGCCACCTAAATATTCAGATCTTGTGTATCATTGCAGCAAGGTCATCAACAAATCTGAAGTACTGAAAATTAAGTTTATCATTCAAGACAAGTCATATTCATATTTGCTGCATCCTTGAAGTGGCTTTTTCCTCTTAATTGAAGAGCCAGGGTTATTCAAAAGCAATCATTCATGTCATGGGAAGCAATCTTAATTTTAATTTCATAACATCATGCACAGAGAACAGCCTTCTTTTAATTCATCCATTTCGATGTCAGAATAACTGATGCTCTTCCCTTACCTTGTTACCGATTGCAATGATTAGGTGTTTAGGAAGTTCAGAGCTACCAAAGCAATGAGGGCATTTTTCCATGCAGGCAGCAAGTCGTTGATGCTCACGGATTGCTTGGTTTCTTTCCCTTTCCTCCGCTTTTCCACTTTCCTCCCTCTTTGCTGCTTTGGAAACGAACATGTCATCCAGAGTGTAATAATCTCTATCAGTTTTGTCTGAAAACTAAAGCAAAAAGTAGATCAGGTGAGCTGGAAAGCTAAACTTGGATTATAAAATTTATTTGATGATTTCTAGAAACTCACTAGCTCTAATATAACAACTACGGACGGTAGTGTTTTGCAAACAGCAAATGCACAGACTACAGTGGTGCTATGTGCTTAACCTCAAAGTACTCAACAATTCTGGGATTGCCATGAGGTAGCTTGTATGTGCACTCAGATACAAAAACAACATGTGAAAACTCCTACAGCAGCCATACTGAATCTTCACGGAAGATGCAACTGCTTCCAAACTCAAAGGTGTGTCCTTCAATCAGTGAACTCTGTGAAACTCCACTGGAGATGTTTGCACAGCCATAATAAAAACCAAATCTCATTTCATTTTTATTAAGGCACCTTGCTTTTCATCAGTGGGAGTTGCTGCCTCACATAAAGTCAATAGCGCGTCTTTATTCTTATAATCTGCATTAGATGGAGGATCAGGGATAATGCAGACTGCAAGTAATGACAACGACAAGTTAAGACAAAGTCATGATAGGTAAATTTAGGCCTTCAAAAGTTGTTCCAAGTTTGGGGATGAATGGAATCTATTAAATCAAGTTATATATATAGATACAAGGCCACACTCTGATATCTTGTTAGAATAAGATTTGCAATAGGAAATGTTTTTCTTTTGATGCCTAATAATTCCCAAGTCCCTTCTCCTCTTGATTTATGGGAGATATTTTCCTCCCTGTTTTATTGTTTAATTTCTATCTTTTGGTTACTGAAGGAAAAATTGTGCAAGAAGAGCTCCATTACCTATAGTGAGTGTCCCTCAGGCAAGGGTGATGTCACCGGCCAATCTTTCATCCATTGTTGGGATTCAAATAATTTAACAACTGACTCGCCCAGGGTCAGGCTGCCTGTTGTGGGAGGCGCGGCCAAACCTGACCCTGGGCGAACTGGTTGTTAAATTACATACACCCCTGCTATCAAAATGGATTCTGGGTGCTGCCCTGTGCTGCCATGGAGAAACGGGCAATGGAGCAGCTGGCGCAAGGGGGGGAGGAGCAGGGAGAAGAAAGGAAAAGCGGCTTTCTCCTTCCCTTGCACCAGCCGCTCTATTGCCTGTTTCTCCATTGCAGCAGAGCACAGCACCCAGGATCCACTCTGATTGTGGGTAATTTAACAACTGGTTCGCACGAACCAGTGCGAATCATCTGAATCCCACCACTAGTTTCACCATAGAGGGCTTCGGTGCTTCCGACAGGGAAGTATAGTATAGAAATACATATAGTAACTTGAAATCCTTTATCTACTAATAAGTACCCTACTTCTGTTGCTTATGCATTGGATTCTCCTATCTTTCTGAAAAGTATAAATACAAGTGCATCACTTTGCTGAGCGGGGTCTCTCTCAATATTCATTCTTTTGAAGGAATCCTACCAGCATATGCTGCTTAATAAACACCACAGTAAGTCTTGATTATTTACTTTGGTTCCTATGTTTGATTCCGTACAGGTAGCTTGGCCCAGTCTTGTCCGAAGAGTAATGTGTTCTAGCAAAACTCTTCTGTAGATAGCAGAACAAACAGGCACAGCTTTCTGACTGCAAGTGAGATGACTCATTTTGCAACTACCGAATTGCAAACGCAGGACTCAGTTTCAGAGTCTTGCTACCAACTTTGCACAGCCTTAGCCAAATGCTGCGTTTTCTAGGTAACTATCAGACAAAGGGGGGAATGGATCTCAAGTCTCCCATGGAATATTACACTGGAAGGACCCTTCACGCATTTGGAATCCGTTCAAATATATATTTCCTTTTAGGACTCTGGATACCCTCCCTCTTTCCACTGTTTTGGGGGGGAGAGAGGACGGGGAAATCAGCGCCTGATTTCTTTTTCCTAACTTATCAAGACAAAATAGTTAAAAAAGAAAATAGCCAGAAAATAAAGGTGAGGAAATATTTTTAGAATAAAAAAAAAAAGATGGAAATTGCAACTTGTTACCTGATTGCATATAATAATTAAAAGTAAAAAAGAAACAACAACCAAGACATAAATGGACACAGTGTTCTGCCCATCTTAAACTACCAAAAGGTGAGTGAAAAAATAAAAATAAAATAATAAAATAATAAATAAAATAAAATAATAGAATAGAATAAGATACATCTTTTTTCCCTCAAAGTTTTGCTAAAATAACTTTGCCCAAATGCTATTGATGAAAATACCTAGTATCATGGATGAAAATTTCACCATTTTTTAAAAAACACACAAACGAAAGAGCATCCATAGTATGTGGCAGAAAAATGCATGATACATGATACACATGATTGTCGCTGCAGTGTGATTTAGAACATATTTTCATAAGGTTCTATAGAAACTAAAGAAATGCTCTTTAGAAAGCTTTTCAAAAGACAAGTTGCCTTGAAATGTTAATATTTTTTTCGTCTTCTTCCGTTTAATTGTGCCCAATTCTCAGTGACTGCCTGGACTAGCCTCTGCAGTTTTCTTGGCAAGGTTTTTCACAAGTGGTTTGCCATTTCCTAGGCCTGAGACAGAGTGACTGGCCCAAGGCCACCCAGAAGGCTTCGTGCCCACAGTGAGATTAAAACTCAAGTCATCCAGTTTCTATCTTGATGCCTTAACCAGTATAGCAAATTGGCCCCTTTATAAAACAAAAAAAAATGTTTATTACCGTGTGGTAAACTGAAGCATTTATGAAGTTAAGCATATAATTTCATGAACTGATTGCTTTTTTTAATAGTATTTTTTAAAGTTTAATTCCGACGTCATTTAGAGCTCCACAGATCAGTATCTTTTAATGAATGCTGACAACCAAATACTAGGAGACACTGAAAGTTAATATAAACAATTTTAAAGTCTTGACAATATAACATACACAGAGTGGTTTCTATATAATTTCCTAATTAATCTGAACAACACACTGGATTTTAAATTAACTCATCTTATAAAGTATTTTAAAGGACCATACAAAAGAAGAGCAGGTTTTAAACCTGGATTGTCTTGTCTTTGCATTGTGTTTTTGTTACGTTTTCTGTTTATTTGACTTTTTTTTGCCTTTCAGATTTCAGAAGTGGAGTTTTGTTGTTTGTTTGTTTGTTTGTTTTGTGTCTTTGAATCAGTGTTGACTCCTGGCAACCTCATAGACGAGTCTTTGCAGGATTCTTGGCAGGATTCGGGAAATGGTTTGCCATTGCTTCCCGCCTCCTAATGCTAAGAGAGTGATTGGATCAAGATCACCCAACTGGATCCAATCTAAGTTGGTCCCCAGGACCAGAAGTTTTGTCTTCTGAGCTTTTGGACTTGTACTGGAGCCAAACTAGAGAAAAGTTCCCTAAAGATGGGCTTCAGCACGAATCCGAAAGCTCGGAAAACAAAACCTCTGGTTCTGGTGACTGACACAGATTGGATCCTGCAACATTATCCTGGGTCACATGTATTCATCTTCATTTGTCACTCAATTGGGTCTGTGCCTAATGAGGGGGACTAGAATTCATGGTCTCCTGAATCCAGTGTCTTAACCACTGCACTAAAGTAGCTCTCTTAAAGTAGCTCTCTCTACTAAAGCAACCTAAGAAACAGCATCCTTAATATTCCAGTGATGAAATCACTAGGAATCAAATATTCTTTGCACCCATCTGGTGAAAAAGCAATCACATGAACAGTATTTTGCTTATTAATGTAAGACCCCTGCTGGATTAAAATATAGGCCTAGAATAGCACTTCCTTTTTATGGTAGCTAAACAGATACTATAGGAAATCCAATGAGGATGTAGGATAAACTGTAATATCACAGTAATAAATATGAAGAGGCATATAACCATAACAGTTAATAGCCTCCAACTATTTTACCCTTCATGAATTTCTTTAATCCCTTTTAAAGACTGTCTAAATTACTACCATCATTTTAATGTCATCCTATTATGGAAGAAAATGCCTCTATTTTTTTTTATACCATGGATCATGCCCCCTCTCCACTTTGTATTCTTTTCACCCTTCTCTTCTTCTTTTTTAAATGTAAACTTTATTAAAAGTTACTGTTTTATCTACCTGGGTTTCTATAGAAACCATGCTCAATGGGTTCTTATTCCCAAGTTACAGTACTGCAGCCTGGACAAGAACAGGACAAAGCTTCCACATTAATGGTGTCCAATTATAGGAAAAGTGCTGAATTCAAAGGCTCAGATCTAATTCTCAGAGGCTCATTATCCATTAGGAGAATGTATCTTACATGTCTTGAGGAACATATTCCATGGAAAATTCCCAATGAACAATCACTGAGCATGTATACAGATTGCAAATGCCTTCTTTTTTTCATAAGATCACTTGATGTTTGCCATCAAATCTGTGTCAACTCTTAGCAACATACAGATCCTTTCTATGGTGAAATGTTGGGTGTAAATTCTACATTACTTTATAGGGGAGGTCTTGCTGTGCCCACTTATGCTATTTATGACTGTACTATATTGTGTATTTGGCTTCTTCTATCTCATTGATCCAGATTTAAGGCAGTGTCACTCTCCATGTTCAATATAACCATAATAAATCATGCAAACTAAGCATAACATATACTATAAGCATAACAAATACTATACGATACTATCTATTGGCTTATAAGGCCATTTGCATATAAGATACAGAATTTAAACTTTCTTAACATAGAATTTTAACTCTTCGTTTTAAAGCAAAGATTATGAAGAGACCATATTACAGGATAGGTCAACTAGACTCAACACTTCATCTATCACTATCATCAGTATTTTTTCCTTATCAATATCAGCTGGAAAAATAATCCAAAAACATGTTTTAGTAAGTCTGTAATGTGTGGGTTTAAAGAATTGTAATTTTTGAGACAAAATATATTATCTGTTTACTATTTATTTCACAGTGCTTGCTTTTGACAGTATAGTTTGATAGTATTGTTACTATCAAACTATACTATCTATTACTGTTATTTGAAAGTAATTTGATCGTATTATTTTTCAGACCTTTAAGATGAT